ATATTTATTAAACATGATGGACCAGATGCTTAGAAGTACTTAAACATTTACTTCATGTAAATGCCCAAGCATCCTGCCTCCTTCAAGAAACTTCTATTTGCCACAGATGTTTTCAAGACTGATCAAAGTGACTGGACACAGCCATTCCTAAGGTGCAAGAGGTCAGATTAAATTTCAATGGAAGTACTCATCCTCTCGCTCTGGATCCAGTCACATGCTTTTAAATTACTGAGGCAATATTCCCCATCCATTTCCTTATAATGGGCATGCTCAGTGCAATGTTTTCTTCATCCCAAAAGTTAATCAGAACAAAAGGACTCTAAATAGGAAAAACTGAACATCTGGATGACAGAACAGAGACAACAGTGAAAATATGGTTTCCTTTTCCTCTAAACCTTATTTCAAACCAGCCCACTTCTCAGTTCTGCAGACAAACACTACATGGAAGACATCCTTGCCTCCATTTTCTCCTCTGCAAACCCCAGCAGCTTCAGTCTAAACTTGTGCTGACACCAAAGGAAATCTGTTTCGATCCTCCTTTCCAGAACGTGCAGGCACTGTTGGGAGTGCAAAAGTGTAGACCCTGTGAAACATTCCCCTTTGCTCTACATTGAGCACAAGAACATGCACATTAGATATTTCTACAACCTGCCACAAAGCTGCAATTCCTTTTGCAGGAGGCAGCTGAAGTAAGTCTCCAACTGCAAAAAAAAAAGTGAAACTCCAGTGATTGTAACTTTTGAGCTGTTTGACGGAGAGAGGGCTTTGCTGAGTATCAGCCTGTTATCTAAAAGATGTCTATGTACAGACACAGTCCAGCCTGAGAAGCAGGCAGCTCAAACAGCTTTGCACTTCCCCTGTCTAATAGTGTAAACAAGGATGGACATATTGCTCCGAGACATTGAGAAATGTGTTTTTGTATTGAAATGTCAGTCATGCAATCCATTAGCTCTTCCAGTCAACTCCCAGTTGTTCTGAGTCCTTACAGGGAAAGCAGGGAGCGGGTTGCATTCTTTTAGATGATCGGAGCTGAATCATTGCTGCTGGTGCAGGTAAACAAAGTGAAGGAATAAGCAATCAGATGCTTATGATTCCACCATATACCTCACTGTGAAGACTGACACAAGCTTTCTTCAATGCATATTCTTACCGAGCTAATTTTTCATTCCCTGCTTTAACAGATGACAATCAGTTGAACAAAAAACAAAGCTGAAAAGCTGCTAAAGACTTCTGCTGGTTTTAATTACACTATTCTATGCTCTACAAAAACTGTAGAGGAAATAGAGTGGCACTTGAATCTTTGTCTCATCCTACTTGCAGGAGGATAATGATATGCTACTTTGTACCCTATTACCATCCCAGAAATAATGTAGGCAATAAAATAATGAAACCAATGAAAGATATGGCCAAGGGCAAGGAGCACAGTGACAACAGTGTCTCAATTGAATTCTGTGCTGCTTTGAAAGTGGATATATTGCTGACAGTGTATTATATACAGAACATAAAAAAACTGCAACTGGTGAGGTGAAATTTTTCTTCTGTGAAGTTCTAATATTGCTCAGTGGTGACATCTTTTCAACCTCATCTTCTACCTGAAGACAACAGGGAACGCCAAAATTGAAGATACATATTTAAATCTTGGCTAATACATAGAGGACTTACATTTAGCTCAAACTTTGCTGGTAAATTCCACATTGCCTCTCTGCTGATGCTACTGGATGCTATATCTGTATGTTCAGACACGTGTAAACAGAAGCACCATAGAATTATACAAGAGAAGGAAATTGCTTTTTATAAGAGAAATGCAGCTTGAAAGCCCGCTATAATGAAGAGTTAACATAAGACATACACTCTTAAATGAAATACTGGTTTTTCCAAGCATGCGATGTTTTTTAAAAAAGCGGTATAATTATGTGTAGGCTATAAATAAGACTTCTTTCTAAAAAGCCAAATGCAGCTTACCTTGTATTAAAAAAAAATGAATTCAAATACTCAGTAACGCACAGTCAGCATTTCATTAAGTGCTACACTGAGCTTTGTTTTTTCAAATATTTCAGTGAAGTTTTTGAACATGAATTGCTTTTAAGTGAATGGTTTGGAATACTGAACTATAAGCAGCTCTTTCATTTTATTTGCAGTGGCTTTGACAGGAGCAAGCCAGAATATGCACACACTTTTCAAAGTTTATTTGCATCCCATTTAAGAAAACTTATCCAAATAGAAGTCAAAAAGCCACAATAAACAAACAGAGAAATTATGGAAAAGAAAAGCAAAGACCTCTTTTTCCTAGACAAATGTTCCATCAGCAGGAGTCCCATTATTTGTTATAACAGTCTTTAACTTGTAATGACTCTGAAGAAGACTAATAATAGACTGGTGGGAACAGATGGAGTGGTGCTGTTAATTATAGGCACTTAGCTGCATCAGACCCCATGAGTTATTACTAACATTTCCCACTAGGGAGGAGAATCACTCGCTTTTAAGTAGTATGTTGCTTACTAAGCTGGGAGCATTAGCAGTCACGATTGTACTAATCAGTACTAACAACACAATAAAACTCATCTGCAAATAAAAAAATAAAAAGAATATTCGCTGAATACCCCCCCACACAATTTCATTTATTTTTTCTTTTGCAATCACTTCTGTATATAAAAAGATCTTCCACTAAGATTTAAACTCAGGTCTCACTAATTAAATCTACACTCAGCTGAAGAAAGCTATAGACCTTTACTGGCAACATTAGTTTTCCAAGCATCTGACTAGCAAGAAGATAAAATGAAGTAAAGCATAATGACCCTAGCACATATGATGGAAGGTATGCAGACCTCCTGAACAGCCCAAGAGTCACACAGAATCATTCGGTTGGAAAAGACCTCTGAGATCATCACGTCCAACCGTTCCTGTCTACCCCCTAAACCATATCCCTAAGTACCTTATCTACCCGCTCTTTAAACACATCCAGGGATGGTGACTCCACCACCTCCCTGGGCAGCCTGTGCCAGCTTCTGACGACCCTCTCAGTAAACAACTTCCTCCTTATCTCTAACCTGAACCTCCCTTGGCACAGCTTGGTGCCGTTTCCCCTTGTTCTATCCCCCATCACCTGGGAGAAGAGACCAGCACCCACCTCTCTACAAGCTCCCTTGAGGTAGTTGTAGGTGGTGATGAGGTCTCCCCTCAGCCTTCTCTTCTCCAGGCTAAACAAGCCCAGTTCCCTCAGCCGCTCCTCATCAGGCTTGTTCTCCAGAGCCCTCACCATCCTTGTGGCTCTTCTCTGAACATGCTCCAGAATCTCAACATCCTTCTTCTAGTGAGGGGCCCAGAACTGAACACAGCACTTGAGGTGCTGCCTCACCAGTGCCAAGTACAGGGGGATGATCACCTCCCTGGAAAGAGGAAAGAAAGAACCTGCATATGAAAGAACCTGCAAAGTGATTCACCACAGACAAAGACTACTCAGTCAAACGGTACAGGTGTATCATTCCAGAGCATCTGCACACACCCTTTCCAATTACACAACCCTAACATCGCTTCTTGGCCTTCCGAGTTTCCTGCTGCATCCCTACCTCTAAACAGGACACCATCTCCCTTCTGCTTACTGACAAAGTGTCTGGAGGTTATTAAACCCACCTGCCTGCTTAAGCATAAACAGCATTTCTCCGTGTTACATATTCAATGAGGGGCTACTGCTATTTGTAAGAATCACAGCACAGACAAGAGTCTTTCCCTTTTGTAAATGTTTCTAAGGCCATGAACAGAAGCTACTGTAGGTATTGCAGGAAACGTTTTTGAAGGAACACTAATTCAACAGGCCCTTTAAAAAAAAGCACGGGACAAGTCCACTGACTATCTGGAAGCCAAATGAGCACTCTGAAAAACAGTTCAATGTTCAAAGAGTCTGATGATGCACTTTATTTGAAAAACTACTATGCATCTTTTGAAGCTTTAAGCAGTGCCTTCATAAATATTAGTGACTGGAAAATTTAGACCATTAAAGAATCCTTATATTCTGATGTTTAGTCACACAGTAGACAACTGGAATGCAATTTGCCTAGGAGTTTTCCATGGATAATTAACTCAATTGTTGTGTACTTATTAGCTAAAAGGACTTAGCCATAAAGGTCAAGGGGAAGATGATGGCTTCTACAACTACTGTGAAAACAGATACTAAGAAATATCTTCGAAAGAATGAATAAAAAGCAGAATTTGGGGTGTAAGGCCACATAACAGCTGTACAGCAGAGCATGCACTGTACAAAAACCAATTACACCTTGCATGAAAGATGACAGAAGAACAACAACTTTCATGCTAAGGGGACACTGCAAGTCGTTTTTCCTTGGAAGTTACTCTTTTAGTTGAAGAGCACTCCAGTCTGCAGGGCTCCTTTGTACAGAAATGGGTATCAAAAGTTACATATGTATTTGATCTGCCCGAGCCTGTGATTGCACAAGGCCTGGCAAATTCCTCAACAAACACAACTTTACTGCAAGTACAAACAGGGGTGATGATCAGCTGACAGCATAACTTTGGTTAGAAGTTGTACCTCGCAACAGATTTCAGCCTTTACGTAAATGGGCAACAACTTTTCTTCCTACAGGCCTTGATCATATATCCCAAGCAAGCAAACATTTCTTATCAGTTTCTATGGAAGCTGCTTAGAAGAAATCCAAGAAATTCATAAATTCTTTCCTCCTGTCCCAGGATATTTTCCACAGTCTTCCAAATCATTCTTAACGTAGCAATGAACAAACTCTCTCTCCACTGATACTTTGGGTATGAGCTACCCAGTACATCTAATAATGACATGCACACATTTGCCAAGGAAGCAGTAGTTGTATTTCAATCTCTTGTCATTCAGAAGACTAAAACCCAAACCCCTCACACTTCATGTTAAGCTAGTATTGATATTAGGGCAGTTGTTGAAAAAGAAATGTTTTCTGGGATCCAATTTATCATTTCTGGTTAAAAAGCCCAAAGAATCCCATGTATTTAATACTTACAGTCAAACTTGAGGACCCAACATCCGGTCAGAACAGCCATCATGCATTTGACAGTACTTGGCATTGGAACATCAGGGATAACAAGGTGAGTGACTAGGAGAAAGATTACATCAGTAGAACTAAAAGCACAAAATCAGAACCATGTCTGGCTGGAAAGCAATCAATCATCATTTAAAGAATAATCAGAGTATAAACATTTATCAACTACTCTTTCCAGCACAGTTATGTGATTTTTGAGACCAAGATACAAGTAAGTAGAAGCACTACTAAAAATGTGGGTTTCAACATATACTTGCTGTGAAAAAGGGAAGTCATGTTTTTATAGTTCTCAGCTAACACAAATCTTCAAAGGAGGCTTTATTTTCTTTTCTTTTCAATCCTTTTATAGTTATATTTAACTGTGACAGAAATCTTCCTATGGGATCTCACTGCTTTAACACAACGCTAACAGAACTCCACTCACAATTCTGGAGTAGTAAGCAGGGTGTGAAAGATGGTAGGGGAAAATTTCCTCAGCATTTCTTTCACAAGCAGGAGCAGCAGCACTACTAATAGGAGGGGTTAAGATAATATTCCTTTTTGGGTGTTGTGGGGGGAATGACAAATAAGTCCCCCAAGTCCCATAATTTGACTCCAACATCTTAATAAAGAACAAAATTGGAAGGAAGGTAGCGTGTGAGAAGAAGTTTGTTAACTTTTAGTCAGTGGCAGGTCCTTTCTAAAGGCACCATCTAAAACTCCTGAAAGAGAATTCTTACAGGATGCCTCATATGAGCAGGGACACTGAAGTTGGCAAAAGAAATGTGAAGAGAAGAGGTCTTTGAGGAGGACTTAGAGAGATTTTAAATAACAGAACTGTCACACTGTGGCTCCTCTAGAAGTCCCCTGCCTCAGTAACCAGGCAGGCTTTATATGCGTTTACACGCAACAACATCATCATTATTCTACTAGGGCTATAATTCAGGGATTTCAGAAACTGCACTTACTGAGAATGATAAAGAAACTTGTTGCAGCTAGTATCTTAAAGGATGAAGTGCAGAATTGTAATTACTTATACAGGGATGGAGACAATTCAACAAGACTACATACCTTTGCTACTAAATTCCGTACACCTTCGAGCCTTCAGAACTGTTGCTAGTTTGTTCAGCAATTTCTGTTGCTCCAAACTGAGACTGCTTCCCAGTATACCAAGAGGTCCATCTCTTGGCTTGCTGGGGATCTGTGCCTGCGTGAACAGGAAATCCTACAATAAGCCGAATGTTTGAGAACATAAAGCAACTAACTTGTTTGGCAGCTTTATTTAGTAAGAATAAACATTTTGAAAAACAGTGCATGGCAAGCTTAGTGGACAGGATCCATAAATAAATCTCTATATAACAAACCAACTCTAGAGGAAAAAAGCTTGCCATTAGAGGGACTTAATTTAGCAAGGTACCAAAACAGCCCGTGAATCAGTTTTTCTCTTTCAAGACACTGTGAGCACACTCATAGCTGGTTGAACATTGTCTAAGCAGCCTTGCTGACTGCAGTGTTGAAGGAAAAAAAGAAAAGTTCCCAATAAAGTAGTAAAGCTGCCTACTTTTAGTGAAGTATTACCAACAGATATGCTACCAATATGTTGAGTTACCTATATAATTAACATTTGCCTTTCCTTTTACTAAGAAGTCCCTAATACATTGCCCTGTAAGTAATGAATGCTTAAGTTTTTTTAATGTGGATACTACTAATGCAAAGTAAGAGGAGATGCTCGCTCAAGTTTTACGCTGACAAGGCTGTAATACTTAAGCTCCTGGATCTTCGTAAGTACTCCCAGATTCCATAGCACAGACAGGCTGCCCAGAGAGGTTGTGGAGTCTCCTTCTCTGCAGACATTCAAAACCCGCCTGGCTGTGTTCCTGTGTGACCTGGTCTGGTGATCCTGCTCTGGCAGGGGCTGGACTGGATGAGCTTTCGAGGTCCCTTCCAACTCCTAACATTCTGTGGTACCTTTGAGATCCAGTTACCCTAAAGCCTCAGGCTTTAGATCAAGTCATCCATATGAGCTGGTAACCGTCCATTGGCACACACTCATCCCAAAGCAAATATGCAAGTACCAAGTGTTTTGTTTGCGACAGAAGAGCTGTATCCTACAGTTGCCACAGGTGGGAGGAACAGTCATATCCTTGCCAATTTAGCTGCCACGGTTTACTTTTGGCCTCTTATTACTTCAATGAGGAGGGATCATAACAGGCTGTATACCCTGGGGTAGATTGGGAATGCTTGTATCAGCCAGGTCAGTTTAATCATCATTCATTAAGAAGCACAAAGCATCTCATAATGCAGTAACTTGTTAAGTCTGAATAACCTGATTCTGGCTGCAAGTCCTGAGAAGTCTTTGGGAAAAAGAGGAGAAAAAAAACCAAAAAAACCCCAACCCCTCAAAACAACCTTCCAAAAACTGTTTTCTACTGCTGAGCTGACATCTGCATCATGCACAAAGGACAATACTGGAACAGCCTTTTAAAGGCACACAAAAAGCACCTGGAGCCAAGACTGCAACTTCTTTCAGCCAGTTTGGCAAGTAGAACAAATTTAAATATGCAGAAAACCAATAACGATAGCAAAGTTCAATCAACACTATTTCAGGAATAACAGTGTTCATTCTCCTATAATAAAGCCATATTCCAGCATCCTTTGTTTTCCCAGATAAAGCTATGATAATACAGAATAATATTAGGAAAGTGTCCTGCATACATTCTGGAAATACTGTCCAAGTTAGTTTATCAACTAATTTTAAATCTCCCTATAAAACCAGGTGACCTACTGTACTTGGGTCTAAGCCTTCAATACTTACAGGATGAACTTATGTCTTTTTAAAAAGCAAAAAAAAACAAAAAACCCACACACACTTACCTCAGAGGGTTGGTTAAATGAAAATGAATCATTCTTCACTGGCAACTTTAGCAGAGACTTCATCTTTTCACTTTCTGCATAGTCCACAGGCCGCAGACCAAATATATTACTGGCAAAACAAGCACAGATGGGTTTAAGTAAATAAAATGTGGCTTGATTCTTAATTAACTGGGCACATTAGCTCGGTAGCTTTCCCTCCCACTTTCTTATTAATATGTAATTTCAGCTAAAAACCACAAAGCTTCAAGTAAGCATTGCATCCAAGACAGATGGATACTGAATTACAAGCTGCTGCACTCAGCTGAGGAGTAAGGGATGTTCAGAGCAGCATGCTCAGTTAAATAAACCACAGTCCTTGTTAAACTGTTTGAAGATGCACTTTGGCATCATTCATAAGACACCAAAATTTCAGCTTGAATCTTTTGTTACAGTCATATAACCAAGAAATGTATTTTTGGCTTACTCCTTTGTCATGAAAGATGTCAGAAGACTCTACATACCGTGTTAAATACTGAAGCTTGATGTGGTTATGCTTTTCTGGGTAAAGCTATCTGCTTCCTACTTGGGAACTGTGACTCCCTCACACTTCCAAAGTTTGAGTCTGCATCTCATTTTCCCCTCAGTGTGCTGTTCCACAGTAGAGGAAAGCTTAAAACCGCAGAGCAGGTATAACTGCCATTAACAAACAATCCTCTGCTAGCACTCTTGGGAAATAATTCTGCTTGCTTAGCCCTTTGCGAGAATAATGGGTATTCCAGCTGATCCTCTTCTCCCCACCTCATGTAGCTCTGGCTCTCAAAAGGTATAATAAGAGCTCATTATGAAGGGGAAGGTCCAAGACCAACAACAAAGCCTTGACTCGGTATCTAAAATCCAGTGAGCTCAGTCAAACGATGAAACACCTAAAGAGGTCAAAAGAACACTGCATCTTCGATGCATTGTCTCTTAGTTAGCCACACATTCCTGTGCAGAGTAGGAACCTAGGAAACTTTACAGGAAATTCCACAGAAGGCCATAACCCAATCCAGACCAAAGAGATGCTCAAACCATTAAGTCTTCACTCTGACTGAAGTGGTGGGCTTTGGGCAGTGCAAAGCTGAAAGATGCCTCTGACCTTAGCACCTTTCTGTGCTCGTGGCAGAACACTGCTCACTAACATAGCCTCTTGGGAAAACAACAATCCACAAGAAACGCACGCTAAAGATTCAGGGATGGCATTTTACAATTCCTAATTTTACAATATTACCTACCCCAAGCTCTTCCGTGTTACTAACGAGGGAAGAGCTAGCATAATACGAATTCTGCAGACTAAAAGATAATTGGTTAAATCTCAGCCCAGTCCTGGGAGTTGCAGCCCATTAAATATTGTCATGCTGTTCCTGCTTTGTCATGCATCATCAGGGTAGCTCTTGCCCTTTCTTTAAATAAGGGCCATATTCAACTCAAACTGCTGCAGGACAGGTTCCTTTGAACAATGCATCCAGAGAGGGGGAAAAAAATAATTAAGTATTAGCACATACACTGAAATCACCTGTAGACTAGATGGGTGACCTTTTCTGGTTAACTATGCAAGGGGAGGAAATCACTGCACATCAGTAGCAGTGGTTTGGGAGTGTCTCCTCTGCAAGTCACAGCAAGATCTTTGACTGTTGGAAAAAACCTCATGAACATTAAGATAAATATATAGGCCACCATTGTTAAGTATAGAACATATTTTTGCCAATTAAATTGTACAAATAAGAGCTCCAGCTACCACCTTCGTATTCACTTAAAAATGCATCCCCTCTGTTTTTAAGATAATTTCAGTTGCTCCTTACCAGCGCGGTGCAAAATGCTATCCTGTCATTATGCAGCACAGAAGAATTAGTATCGATTCATAGGGTGTTAAGTTGGCGTGGTTAAAGTAAAATGTGACCAACTTGGGAGCTCAGGTATGAATAAAAACAAACACCAACCCAGGGAATGGTTTTAATAGTTCTGAATATTTGCAACAAAGCAGCTTGCTAAGCTTAAGTGAAAAGAAGTAACTGAAACAGGAGAAAAGAGGGTTTACAAAGTAAACAACTAAGACAAGGATCACATCCAGACAACAAATTTCAAGTATGTTACTGTTTTAATTTACACATCCTTTTCAAAGAAGGATGGAAACCAGATTTGTTCTTTTTTCTTAAGTACCCACTAACCATCCAAAAACTAAATAACCACGATCAGAAAGAGACCACGTCCATGTCTCTGTTGGGCTGGTACAGTTACCAGCGCAGTTACTCAAGGAACTGTTTTTAATATATTAGGAATGTATATTATTTTGAAGGATCAAGAATCAGGTCTGTGCAGCTACAAGAACACCAGTAAGGTGCAGGAATGGGAAATGGAAGTTTTTGGTAAGTGTGCTCTAATCTGTCTTTATACACCCAAGCTGAACAAGAGAAACCTTCCACCTTGAGTAAAAAATGAGTTTTGATCCAGTTTGCAAAACAAAATTATGTGAGACATGCACATTAGACCCACACACACACACAGTATTTTTAGAAAAATCAATAACTACGTTTCTGTAGTTATTCTGTAGTTAGAACTACCTACTATAGGTGTGGGTTTGCTGAGAACGGGCCTAGTGCTTAACAGGACAAGTTCCATGCATAGAGGGAAGACAGACACTTGCTTCTGCAAGAGAGAAGAAAGCTCTCTGGTGCTTAAGCTAGAATACAAGGCCTCTAAAGCATACTTCTTTCTACCAGAGTGTAAGCGAGCTTTCCATAAGTTGATTTAAAACATTGAAGCGTCAGATGTATCCTTTGATGCAAACAGTTTCCCATTAGTCAGTCATCAAGGTACTGAATAGTCAGTAGAGGGCTCTTACAGCCAGAACAAATCCCAATCAAAGAGTAAGATGTCTGTGCTGAGAACAAAGATTAGCCCAATGAAGAGCAACTCAATGTAATCTGCTGAGTACGACTTTACATGAGATGACAGATGATATCTTAAGGACTGACAGATCAAAGGACTTCTTATGAAAAGCTTTAGAAATGGGATACAGTGTATGGTGCAATACTGCTGAAGTCTTAGGTATGGAGACAACAGAGGTTACTGCCGTAGTCAAAAAGAAACTTAACAGCTACCTTCCTAATGTTTCAGTAAAGTTTCAGGAAATAAGCAGCCAGAGGAGAGAACATAAAGAGGGAAACAGCCCTGTAAGTTCCTTAGAAACCCCAAACTTTCACTGCTTCTGATACAAGCAAACAATTACTATATAATACTTTGTAATCAGGAGGCTTAAGTTGCTCTATTTTGACCCCAGAAGTTATTTCCTGTTCCACAGTTGAGCATAACCTAAATATTACTCCAGCCCCACAAGAGAGCTCAATACTGAACAGAAGTTCCCCGACCAGGTCAGAGTGCACTAATTCCCATGTGGAAATCTGACCAGCTGGGGCTCTCCAGTCAGCACCTCTATTTTGAGAGTTCAGCAAAGAGAAATCTTTTTTGAACCTGGCAGAAGAAAGTCATTTTAATCTGAATAACCAGAAAGACCATCTTCGAAATCCAAACAAGGCCAGGGTTTTAATTAACCTGCTGTCAGCGGGAAGTTAAGCACGCTGTCTTGCACTTAGAAAGTAAGTCCTGCACTATCTTGACTTAGAAAAAGCAGATAAAATTATGTCAGTATCATGGGTCTAATGCTTCCTGGAATTAACTGCAGGTTATAACAGTTTCTGCCCCTATGCCATTCATAATTGAGGACCACGGTCTATCTCTAAGTATTGCCACAGGCTTGTTCAGAATCAGACTCACAACTACTCAAAAACAGCGAACGCTGAAAAAATAGGGCAACACAACAATTTTTACTAATGCTAAACTTATTGTGCATGAAGAACTGGCAAGATAGCCCATTTGAGTGAAAGCATTAAGGAAGTAGTGTGAAATTGCAAATGCGCAGATCTAATTTTTCAAGTCACTTGGCTTGCTGTGAAGCAGGGAAAAAAGACAGAATTCAAGAGAGTGAGGACATGAAAAAAAGAGCTATAAAAGTATAAATTAGCTATGTGTAGGAGATTAACTTAAAAAAATTAACTAGACCAGCAGGACAATTAATAGGTCCACTGGTCCATATAATATTTTTCATTTGTAGTTCATATCTTTCCCAGCCAGTGAAAACTTCAAATGGCAAATGAAGTGCCACAACTATTAAGTCTTACAGATTTGAAAAAAAATTTGTGCTAAGGAATACTGAAATCCCAGGACTGCTTCCTGGCATAAGTAGCAGTCCTCACCTGTATTCCCTTGGTTGAAAAGATACATAGCTGCTTCATATTACTTCTTAATGCACTACATACTAACATGCAATGAGAAAAAGTAGACTGAAAGACACTTGGAATGAGATGGTCATGCTAGGACTGTGAACCTGAATCTAAATCTGAAGTTGTGAAGTCTCAGCTCTCTGATGGCTAGGATTTATGCTAACATCTGTGCGCCCCATGAATTGAGGTCCCTTAGAAAGCGGCTGTGTTTGCTCCCAGCTATATCTTACATCCCTCTACAGATCAGTGCATATTACCTGCCTTTGGGCCTGCAGTCAGTAAATATTGCATATCTTTAAAAAAATATTTCACCTTGCACAATTGAGTATCATACTATGTTTCCAAACTACTGCTCTAAGCAGGCTACTCCACACAAGCTCTGTTTTCATTCCAGTAGATTAACTCTCCTACACACGAGGGACATTAAGACACAAAACTGAGTTAATTCCACAGTCAAAACAGCAGCAACACATCAGTCACTTTTGGGATGTTTCATGCTATATATTTCAGTGTCCCAGGTAACACTTAAATACATTTATCATGTTCACTTTTTACTTAGCCTAGCTAAAAGGAAAAGACTAAGTAACCACAGTGTACTAAGCAAACTTTCCTCCCTGTGCCTGTGAGGTAATGAAGAATCACTTTAATATGCCAGGACAAAGAGGGCTCTCTCCTGGGCCGAAAGTTAGTAGTTCATTGAGAGTCTGAAGAACCCACAAAAGGACTAGGAAGAGTTTCAGACACATACAAAATGCCAACTAAAATTAGACAAATTTATCAGTTTGGCAAACTTGGGTTGGTACAGTGTTAGCTCACACACTGCACACCTCTAAAGTTAGGAATATACCTGAGGAATGCCTTAAAGAAAATAAAACCTTTCAGAAGAGATACAAGTTCTACTCATCGCCGGTCAATTTCTGCTTTAAAGATCCTAGAGTACTGTGGTGTAGGTAAGCAGATCCTGTATTAAACACAGAGAGGCCAATTATAACTAATCATACTGAAAAGACAACTATAATTGCAGCACCTTAAGTGACAACCTTGTTCTTGCCTCCTGTTTTTAAAACTGATCTGCAGATCTCTGGGATCTAGGAAAAGAGTTACTGAAGAAACACAAGCTTCTTGTGAGATGTGACTTCATTATAAGGGTACCTGCACCCACTAGAAAAAAAAACCCTTCTACATTAAAGAAGGTTCAAATCCACTTACCTACACAACTCCAACCACTGTTTGATTAGAAGTACAATTACCAGAGGTGCTGGCAGAAAAAACCCTGTAAGATTTGCAAAGTCATGATCCAGGAAAAAAATCATGGCACAGGATTCACTGCTGGAAGCTAGCACGGCACAGGGAAGAAGGGAAGGACAAGACACTCTCAGAAGTCCCAGACATACTGTTCTTGCTTCTATGTGTCTTGGTACTGCTTAGAAGAGGACAGTAACATCTCACTACTCAAGCCTGAACACTTGGTTTGTACATCCCCTTTCCCTATGTCTTTAATATTCTAATGTAAAAATAAGGCAAAAAACTCCCCAGCTTTTCCATTATCAATGCAATAGCAACATGCACAGTAACATTTCAGCAAGCCTGCAGAAGATTTTTTCCAGGGCAAGTGTAAAGGACTGGATTTTTGCCAAAGCACCTGTGGTTCCTTTTGCCAGGCAAATGAAACTAAGAGTCCAAGTACTGTGGAGATTAAGTCAAGAACAGTGCATACTCAGAAGTGTGTTAGAAGCTACTTTTGATAGAGACACTCCAAGAGGGAGCTAGATGCAGAGCTGTGACATATCCTATGTCACTGTTTTAATATACAGCTGAACATTACCCATATTCAGTGAAAAGCTAAGCCAGAGTTTCAGGTTTACATGAATCTCTCCTTCCATAATTAAAAAGCTTCTCTTTCAATAGGAAGTCACATTTGCTCAAGTAGAATGAACTGAAAGAGGTTCTGTTTCATCTCAGTTTGCATGAACACATGTGGCAGAGACCAAGGCTAATAAAAGACCTGAAGAGTTCACTGTTGGCATTTGGAGTCTCTGCAGCGCAAGTCTTTCAGTGCTTAAGTCTTGTCAAAACCCTGCATCAAAGCTGCTATGTTTTCAAATACCAGGCAGACAAGTGATAAGTGTCATACAACCAGTCCCCAATACTCAAGTGGCTTGAAAAAAATTAGTTTCTGAAGCTGTCAGCTTTCAAGGTGCAATGTGCAATGTGCTGGTCTTTGTTTTTCAAGAACAAAGTGAAGATGAACAATTGATCCTTGTTTTACTTTTTCACGCTAAGGTTCTACGGGTTTGTTTTGTTGTTTGGTTTTGTCTTGTTTTTAAACTCCAGTATATTCAAGATTATAACTGTTTTTGAAAACCCCATGCTTTTCCACAGAGTACCTTAATTCTGTAAGCTTCAAGAGTGAATGCTGAGAGCTGAGGTGATTAAGCTGAACTTGCTTATGCTTATGTGGCTGACAGGAAATTCATGTCATGCAAGACTTCATCCTATTGTGTTTCTATATACACACACACCTATGGGACAACACGCATTGGACTCAAATTTTATACACCCAGGCCCTGGCACAACAGCAATATTACAATACTTAAAGCCACATTTAGCATCTGAAATACTAATAACTAACAGGGTTACTCAGAGACTAACAGATACTTTAACACCTCCTATATACAAATGCCAAAGTCTCCAGGAGACATAACTGTATAGAAGATTCACAAATATTTCTAAGCTTTTTTAATTTATTTAATTAAAAAGGATTAGTGCTTTGATCCAGAACAGGAAAAACCCAAATGTCAGCCTATGTCTATGTCATTTGTGAAGGTAGAACAGACCAGACTGAAACACCTTCTGCTGGCAAGTAGCACAGTGTAAGAGACAAAACACAGCTGTAGCAGTTCAAAACTCATTTAGCCCAGCATCTTAGATGTGACAGTAACTATAACGAGATGCCAACACAAAACCATAAGAACAGGGTAAGCGTATCTTGTTACTTTCCTAATACAGCTTCCAATACTACAGCCATCTATGACTCAGACGTCCTCGGAAAAGCTTAGGACAAAGTAAAATAGAAAGGAAAGACCTACCTAGAAGAGGGGAACAATGAGTATAGCAGAACACACATTTAACACCCACTCCCTCACTTCAAATAAATCACATTTATTACTAGCTTTGCTTCATATTTACTTAACATACACCCTGGAAGTTGTAGCTGTAGCTAAAGCCACAGTTCAGACAACATCCCACATCTACTTACACTGCGTCATGGGAGGCACCATGCAAAAGCAGCAGCTCAACAATGCTCACATGCCCATTCTTGGCAGCGTCATGAAGCGGTGAGTCGTTCTGATACCCCGCAGTATTCACCAACGCCTTGTATTGCAGCAAGAGCTCCACTACTTCTTTGTGTCCATGATTACATGCCTCGTGCTAGTTGGGCAAATCCGTAAGTAGTAAAGAGAAGAAACTCAAGTGAAACAGAATTCAGAGGAAGGACATCAGTTAACACATTCGTTTTCAAACACCTCTCAGTAGATGGTTGTGGAAGACGATGCAAGGATAATGCATCACGTTCCTGGCATGAATTAACCTTGGAACCTAGCACGAGCAAAAAGCACAGAGAAGAACTGAACAAAGGCCAATTGTGTGCCAATTAGACCACAGGGAACAAAGCCTCCCAGATTACAGGCTCTGTCAGGGGTATTCTTCAGGAGAGGAGAAAGTTATGGTCGAAAAGAACCTTTTGTTTATTTTCTGTAACTCAAGTGAGCAATTTTTTTCATTCAACTACTTGATATGCTTCCAAAACACTGAGGACATTAAGAACCCATAAAACATACACATTGCCTGCAACTGATAGTTTTCTAATTATCACAGTTATATTTTCTGCATTTGCAGAATCGCAAGCTGATAGATTTCTTGGCATGCCCTACCCCAGCAAAGGAGAGTTGGATTTGGCCACGTCAGCAGTTGCTAATAGATTATTTTAAACTTGTATATCCATCACTTCTTCACTTTGTGTAATTCTTTGTCACCTAAACGCAGATAAAGGGAACTGAAATATGGGAGAGGAAAGGAGGGATGAAATAAAATCTGATTAGAAGACAGATGACAGAAGAAAGTCTTCAAGACTCACCAGCGGCGTCCAGCCAGCATTATCTTTGACATTAGGATCTGCCCCATTTTTCAGCAGCTGTTCGACAGTTGCTAAGTCACCCTACATAGGAAAAAAACCATAGTTATTAAAAAGTAATGAAAAGGATACACAAAGACAAGAAAAATTTTAAGAGATGCAGAATTATAAATGCAGCTGCAACAGAAGTGTGATGATACAAGGCTTTCATTTAGATATTATCAGGATAACAAAAAACCCAGCTGGTTTGGAGGCCACAGTTTATCATTCATTTAGAAGCACCAACACATTTTACACAAACATATATTAAAAAAAGAGCACATAACAGACTTAACTCAGAATAAATGGACAAGTTTGTGCTGATCGCTCTCTGTTCACTAGAGTCAACTGCAAGGATTAAAATCAGAAATATTTATTCTGAATTTCTTTGTCCTTCAGACTGCATTTTTTTTTTCAAAATAATCTACGTAACTGGCTAAAAACATGCACAGGTGAAATAGATTAATAAGCCTGACAAGCTTGTGTAAGTTGTTTCCCACAAGTCAAAAGGGAGTTTTATTTTACATTGTAATTACTACTCATGTCGAATTTCACTGACACTTCCTCTGATAGTTAATTCTAACAAAACAGTTTGCATTTGCTTTTTGGAAGAACACGGTTCTTTATCCAGTTTTCATTGTAAGCAAGGAAATGTGTGTGGAAATGGGTGAAAACTGATGCAGATTATGGGAAGAGGAAAGAGGCTGAGTAAAGACAAGACACTGCAAAGCAAGCAGCGGTTTTGATATTCTTAAGAGACAAGTATAAGAGCAACAGTTGTAATAAGATTGGAGCAGATACAGATGCAGCTATAAATAGGCAAGGAGAAACCTCCTGCAGAAACTGAGGCAAGGAAATCTCTGCAGTGCAGGTCTTCTTAAAAGCAGGTGAGAAAAGTAACCCAAAGGGACTGAAAACAGACAGACTGTCCCCTTCTCCTTTCACAGCACTGCCTGCACCCCAGTACATGAGTACGGAAACCTTTCATGCAATGTCAGCCAGTTCCCACTTCTGGCATCTGTTATTAAGGAGCAGCGATAGCAAAGGTCTGCACTACTGGAAGAGGTACCACAAATTCTTTGCAAAGGTTTTGCTGTAAGGCCAGGAACTGTCAGGAGACCTCATCACCACCTACAACTACCTCAAGGGAGCTTGGAGAGAGGTGGGTGCTGGTCTCTTCTCCCAGGTGATGGGGGATAGAACAAGGGGAAACGGCACCAAGCTGTGCCAAGGGAGGTTCAGGTTAGAGATAAGGAGGAAGTTCTTTACTGAGAGGGTCGTCAGAAGCTGGAACAGGCTGCCCAGGGAGGTGGTGGAGTCACCATCCCTGGATGTGTTTAAAGAGCGGGTAGATGAGGTACTTAAGGATATGGTTTAGGGGATAGACAGGAGCGGTGGGACGTGATGATCTCAGAGGTCTTTTCCAACCGAGCGATTCTGTGATTCTCCAGAGCTGTTGTCATGCCAGCAACAGAGCCAGCCTGTCCTGCACCTCTCAGCATCAGGTACCACCTCTCATGCCAAAAAACAAAAAATATTTACCCACACTGTTACAGATGAGGAGCAGTTACACACCATTTCTCAGCTGACAGGGTAACAAGGAAGGAACAGACTGCCAAGTGTCAGATAATTATCAAAACTACCCAAATAATGCAAGTTTTTTTAAAGGCTGAACTAGCCTAGCAGGCCTCAAGTTTCTGCATGGCTTGCCACCAATGGTCCAATTCTTTTCATTTTAGGTTTTGGGTGGTTTGACATTATGTTTTGTTGGGTTTTGCTTTTCGGATCCACCTCCAACCAAGCATTTAAAGAAGACTACTAACCCATCCCCTAGAGCACGGTACTGTGATCCACAGTGAAGAGACTAATACATAGACTGGTATCTAGCTCTTGTCCTTGGCCAAACTTGCAACACATAAATATTAGGACCTGGAGGGGGAAAGAGAGGTTTAATCCACCATATACAGAAAGTTATGTGCCCTTAAGTAGTGGTAAGTCAAGGAATTCCTAACTGTTACTCCACAGTGTACCTTAGAAAAGGTGAGAGAATGTTAAATTAAGCTTTAAAATCCAACAAAAATAAATGTAATCCTTTTTTCTGATAAAAAGGAATGCTTTAGAAAAACAAAATAGCTTTAATCTTTACTCTTTAGTTAGACAAAAATGTTAAGACAGACTATGTTAAGACAGACTCTGCTCAGTAGAAATAAATCCAGCAAACAACAACTGGAAACTCAAAATTCAGCAAAAAATAAAAAAATGCTGAGAATCACTGGCTTCACAACAGTCAAACAAATTAACATAGCAGAGCTAAATCTCATGCACCACATTCACAAGCTAGATGTCCCAGCAAAATGTTACCTTTCGAAGCAATTAAAGAATATGCTGCTGTTAGAATGCTTTATGGTTGCAAGGTAACAGACAAGCATCAGATGTGAAGAGTTATTCAGAGGCAACTAACACAGTGCTCAGCACAAGATCATCTTCTACAAAGATCCAGTTATTTATAATGAGCAAGATCTGAGCTTATCATTTAAAGTTAAGTTTGCAAACATGTACAGCAAGGGTTTGACATTTCAAGAGCACTCCTCTAAAGCTGTAAGCATAGCTAGTAATTTGTGTGGGCATTAGGTAGTATCACAGCTTTTAGGAACAGTTATGTGAACACTGATTTGTAAAACACTGCTGCAGTTCTATCAAAGGAGACGTTGCTGGTGTGGGCAATGGTACTGACAACATCCACAGACAGAGATCCAGGTCTACGTCAAAATTAGAAAACTGGTGTTTTGCTGTTTACAGAAGACAAATACTGTTATCATCTCAGCTTCAAATGGAACCTGCTCCCTGCAGCCAGCAATGAGAGTGACAGAAAGGGAGGGGAAGCTGTCACCAAGCACAATGACTAGATGGGTGCTGTCAGTCAGAATTACAAGAGATACGTTAACAAAATTGTTCCTAGCTATGAGAATATGCCTTTTGTCCCCTCAGAGGCTCTTCAGCCAGTTATCATATTGTGATTATTTAGTTAATAAAAGCAGAAGACTAAATGTCAAGAAGCAGATCCTTAGCAGCTGTGTTATCCTGCAAGCTGGACCAGCATCACCTGACAGTGATCCAAAAGTAAGAAAAGTGCAGTTAACATCGACCAGTTCTATCAAGGTTCATTGAATTACTCACATTTAAAAGTTAATCAATGTTTTGCACAGCTCTAAACAAGAAATAGTAAGAATCTAGTAGGGGCAAGCCCCAGCCACAAATATCTACGTATCGTGTCTTTCCTCTACAAGTAAGAGAGCAGAAGAGACTACACCTGTTAGCATGGAATTACTAATTGAAACATGTTTCACAGAGTTGTGCTTTGACTGATACTGAAGCTGACTTCGTATATTTACTCCCTTGAGTCTACTTGATCTAGCAAAGCCAGCATAAAATCACCAGTTCCAAATACAGTCATAACCATACCAGATGACACGAGGAGGGGCCCTCTCAGCTTGTCTTAGCAGTCTGTAGCAACAGCAGAGTGGAAACGTAACTGAAGACACTACTTGTTCAGAAGCAGAGAACAGGACAAACAGCAGGTAGAAGAACACTAACATTAACAATTCACAGGGAAGTGTTTATTCTCAAATCTCATTATCAATGAAGGATTACAACCAGCTTCTGGATAGGCAGAAACTGCCGCAGAATGTAAAATTATCCATTTGGCAGAAACAAAACAAAGGACATTTTAAACTCATAACAAAGCTTATGTATAGTGACAACACAATAAGGCAACAGGGTTGCTCTTCCTTTGTATCAGCTTAAGGGAGCTCTGAAAACCACAGAAGCAAGAAAAGCATTGGGGCCATCTGTTGGCAGATGTAGAAGACAGCATTAACTTACACAGAGAAGGGCATTTACAAGGCTTTGCAAATGCTTCCCTCCCACTGAGAATTTAGCTCCTGCCGATGCAGCTGGCATAAGCCCAGAAAATCACTCTCAGTTGGCTTACACAAGGTTTTTTCTTCCTCCCCCCCCCCCACAACTCAGCTGCATCACGATGTTAATGCAGATAGATGGTTAAGAACACATTTAAATTTAAAGTCAATGGAAGAGCCTTCTACCAGTTCAAAAAAGACAGACCTCAAAAAATTAGGGCATACATGAAGATGAAGCTAAAAAAAAAACTGTACCACATCAACCAAACAATTGTCCCTTTATCTGCAAAGGTAACCAAGTAACTTCAATGTTTAGGTCAGAAAAAATGAACAAAAAATTCTTTCAAATCCAAGTACACTTGTTTAAGTTATGGCAAAGGAGAGGAAAATGAGGTTATTTACAACTCATGATAAGTGGTCAGAGGGCAAAAATGAATTACAGAGTGCTTATAATAATACTGGACACTCCAAACAACTCTTTGCAGGAACCAGCAAGTCTCTCGCCTCAAATTTCTCTAACCTAACCCAGCAGACCATTTATTAACTAACAAGCATTCAAGTAGTTACACTTTACCTTTAACAAAAAGAAAACATGCAAGCAGCTCAATCCACCTCAGAAACAAGAGAAGTAGCAACTGAGCATTATCGAAATATAAATGGCAATTTGTTTCTAAGCTTTCAAATCAGCACTTGGGAAGATGGATTGGTTTGACTTCTGGCCAACTTTCATGTTGCTGAGTTCTGCATTTGAAACCATCACACAGCTTCATAAATAGAAAGCTACCTGCTGGATACTACCCGTAATGAAGGAGGCTGCTTACTATTCCTATACCACTTGGCTTTAACATTAGAGAGTCACACCACACCTTCATAGCAGTCCCAGGTGCTACACTTGGATCTGAGTCATCCTGCTCATTCCTGCCAGCAGGCCTCATTTCTCCAATGAAACGGGTGTCACACAGACAAGTCACCTGCCACACAAAGTCACAAGATCTGGACAAGGACCTTGGACCAACAGATGCACTCATTCACTGTGAAGCAGCTGGTAGAAACGATGCTGGCCATCCGCTGCCTTTTGCTCAGGGGAAGCTGGGAGCATCCAACTGTGCAGCAACACAACTCCCCTCTTGTACCTAAAGGCTCAAGAGGTAAGGCAGGAGGGGAGACGCTCCTCCCGTGGACATGTGTGACTTAACACTCAACCACAAGACATACACAGCCAGTACCAAAACCAGGGAACTGCACAGTTGACTAGGTCAGACAACCAAAAAAATATATCTAAAAGGTATTCTGATATTGGCCACCACATGTTCAGAAACCAAAATCTTCTTTCACTCTTTATGATGTGTCATTAACTGGTAACAAAGCAGTAAAAAGGAAGAACAGGCTCAAAGGCTCGGAAGGAATTATCTAATAGCTGTTACAGTGTTAGGTATAACGAACATGAGTCCAGCACAGCAGGCAAGCCATGGATGAAGCCATTATATAGGCCCCTCATGTCAATTGTCAAAACTGAAGGATCCCTGAACAACAGGTAACCAAAACCAGCCCCAGTGCTCTTTTTCCTCTTTCTTCAGGCTAAGCAGATGCTCTGCATAGATGCAATTTCCTCTTTCCTCAGAAGGACAGCAGTTCCATGCTGAGAACGTCAATGCAGAAGAAACACAGGCACAACCGAAACCTGAAATACCGTACCAAGAGACTATGAGATTTTTCTGTCTGTAATAAAGACTAGTTTGTACTGAGTCAAGTAGTACTGGGCTTTAATTTTAATCGCCACGTAAGATCTAGTCCTGTGAAAAACTTACTATTTTACTGGAAAATAAAAATCGTATGTGGAAGGGCTGTTGACTGGGCAATTTCCCACCAGTTTAGAACTTCAGGAGTGCGACAGGTCATGCTTTGTATTTTAACTAGTTGGAAGTTTTCTCTGTCGCAACTACGGAGGAAGATAAATACAACTGCTGTTTGCTATAGTAAGAGCTGCATTTATTTTAATTTATTAGTGTAACTCAGCATGAAGTTCATCCACACTAGAACCTTTCTTGACAGCCATTTCGACTTCAGTAAGTTTATAACTAGTAGTAGTAAGCAGGGACAATCTCTCAGAATCATTTGAAACAGCACACTACACTTAATTTTAATGCCTGATAATGTTACTATCTCTTTTAAATAAGAAAACGAGGAGAACTCAATTAGCTTTAATTAAATTCAGGGTATTAGGCCCTAACAGCTAATGAAAATAATACAGATTTATTTTTATAATTAATTAAGTCTCAGAAAATTAGACTTTATTTCTCTTTGGGGGCAGGGTGGCAGCTACAAGTTTGTTTTCCATTACACACATGGAAAAACATTACTGGCTGTGGAAAGAACAAGAAAATAAAAGAAGTCACATGTAAAACAAAAGAGATGGAAGAAAATAAATACTTCTTCCAGAAACAGAAAGAATGGCAGGGCTGCTCTGAAGAAAACACAATGTGAATATACATGCAATATAAACCCTTGTATTTTCAAGATCAGCTGCTTTGAGAAAACACATTTATCAGTTCCAAAGCAGGGTTCCTACAACTTAGAAGAGTGATCTAGAAATATACAGGTCATACGTATATGAACGTTCTGTGATTCTGTGATTCTGTGATACGGAAGATACTTGCTTTCAAAAAACATGTTTTCTTGCAATCAATCATTACTATTTCTTGATCACTGCATTATCAAAACCCATAAGCAAGAACCATCCTCACATCATCCTGGTTTGAGCAACTTAATCACCTTTGACGTGGACTAGTACATGTGTCTACATTTACAGGCTACCAGGGGATGCAGCACCTTCTTAGGAATGCCATAATATACTCATGATTAAGCTATATAGCAAGGAAAAAAGACCACCACAAATGAAAGGAGTTAATCTGCATAACCTCCTTCTGCAGATGAGGAGCTGAGGTTCAGAGACAGTAAAACAACTCAGAGTTGCACTGGAAGTTCAGTAGCTGGAAACAAAGACACACGCAAGTAAACTAAGACCGTAACCAACAGACCGTCCTCTTTGCCTTATTTTAGCTACGTTTAAGAGAGTGGTAACTTTGAGATCACCTTGAAGCTCTAACAAGTTAAACAAGCCTTTACTAATGAGTACTTCAACACAAAAGAAATTTATTAAAACCACAGCAGAACTAATGAGGAACAGAAGTAACTTCCCATCTTAGGTCAATAATAATCAATGTTAAAAGATGACATCAAAACAAATTCACACACAGGACTGGGAAAAAAGCATTTGTGTGTCTGCCCACTCCACTGCCTACACTACAGCTGAAACAGCCCTATCCCTTTCTCAGAGGGGGCTGTACCAATGTCAAAAAGCAGTGCCAGCCACGTGCCAAGCTTGGATAATAAAAACTTGCTTATTCTTTTTGCCTCTAGGATGAGCTGCTTAATTCTTATTCATTTATCTTCAAAATGCTTTTCAATAAAAACCCCCTTATTGGCACATTACTGTTTACTCCAACTCTCACAGCAAGCAACAGAGATGCTCTGTTTTCTTAGATTAAATACCTGCGATCCAAAGAAGCAGAAGACACATTGCTGGAAACCATAGCTGTGTGAAAATTTGTCAAGGTAGATCAGTTTTTTTAGAACCAGTCAGTCATGACATTATTCTTTACAAATTCCCAGAAAATCATGGAAGGATAATTTGTAAACAGTGCTTTAATCAAGAAGCTGCATTTTGTTCCTCTTGAGCCAACACTCGAATCAGATGGAGGATCTCAAAGATTATGAAATAGTTGATCTCAAGTAAGGTTGCATTGGGTTATCTTTATGTAGATAGTTCAGATCTTGTCCTGGCTGAGTTACCACATCAAGATCACTTGGTGATATCTGAAATACTTAGTTAAATTCCTTATGACAAATCACCGAGACAGCTTTCCAGCACACAAGGCCAAACCATTTGAATGCTTATCACTTCCTAGAACTCACAGGTATAACTGACACTGTAGTACATTGAGTTTCAAGTATAATCATCTTTGATAATTTCCTTATGAAATCAGAGAATCAGGTTGGAAACTCCCCAATAAACCTAGAATAAACAGACCACAAGATGAGATTTCCACCCCCACCAACCCCATTCCTCTGAAATATGATGTACTGAAGTAATGGGTTTCCAGGATATTTTTAACACAACACTGTCTTTTTAAACCCCTGTGTCAAGTTGATACCTAGAAGATCATGGTCCTACCTTGATGGAAGCAACATGGAGCAAAGTCTCCCCTTTATAATTTCTTCTGGCAATTGTGTTACCACCAGGGGACTTCAACACAGAAGGACTGTGTGGCATTCCTACTTGATTACAAGTCTTAAAAGTAGATGGAGTAGAGGGGGGTTTTGAAAGTGAAGGACTATTTATTGCTTGAAAGACTGCAGAGCTTCTTGTCTTCATTACAGTGTCAGTGAGTTTTGATACAGAGGAAGAAATCTGAACTGGTGTCTTGTGTTCAGCTGCTGGGGAGATGGAGCAACCCTGAGGTAAGTCCTCTAAGCAATCTGCCTGCCTCACAGACTTCCGAGTAACACTTCTCTCACTTCTTCTTGGTCTTTTAGACTGAGAGGTGCCTGGAAGTCTGGACTGCTCCCTTCCACGTTTTAAAGGTGTGGTTTCATTTTCTATTGACAGGGATGTCTCTGTAGCGCAACTCTTTTCCTTGCTGACTTGTGCAGGACACGTAACCTCACTGTTCTCTTTCTTCTCTAAGGATTTTCCCTCTGGTGAGATATCTATATTTTCCATATTTTTTATGGAGTCAGCTTCATTTATAGACTCATGCTGAAGTGTATCTTCCGGGCTATTTGGTTCTGGAGTGCACAGGACTACTGGTTGACTGCAGATGGTCACACATGTTTCCTTGGGAGGCTTCTCCTCAACTCCTCCTTTCTGTTCAGGCTTCTCTAAGCTCCACACTTTGTTAATGTATGCTAGACGTTTCTTCTTCATCTTCTTATTCTGTCTCTGTGTTGGCTTTTTTGTCGACTTGGAGGGCTTTTCCTGAAGAGGGGAAGGAAAGAAGTCATAAACTGAAGATGTGTCTTGACAAAGGCTGTCACTTTTAGTCTTGGCCTGACTCTTGTTCAGGATGCATCGAATCTTCCTGCTTCTTGGGCTGAACCACATTTTTATCTGTTCCTTTGTATTCTTTTTCCCAACATCTGAGTCAGCTGGTGCGGACATACCTTCCGTTGAATCTAAGAGCATCAGGAAAGAGGGAAAAGAATTTATAAAGTACTCTTCAGTAGAACATTGCACAGAAAAAAAGATGAGAATAACAACTGTAATAACTGATGAAGTGTTACTAAATACAACTTTCAAGTGCCTTCAGATTTCTTCTGAAGAGACACGTGTCATGGCTTTAAAACTGGCAAGGTCACACACCACTCTGAAGTTCTGGGATCCTAGTGAAGCTAAAGTTATCCACTAGGCAACTGAGCACCCTGATAGAGAAATTTCCTCAGTAGTCTGGGTTCACAGCACACCACATGCACAGGAGATTTCTGACCAGGTTAGATAGGAAAGCAGCTCGTTCTCTCAGTTTTCCTTGGAAACAGGTTTAACAAAAGTAGTCTGTGCACACATAAAAGAGCACAGAAACAATTTTCTAAGAAGATACTACAGTTCATCTGAGGATGAACAGGAGGAATAACTGCAAGCAAGCAAAGCTAGCATCCTTTTAAGAATGTTGAACGTTCCTGACACATTTTGACCGATTCCACAGATACAGTAGATGAATGAGAAAACTATATAGAAAATCTGTAAGTAATTGTGTCCTCTCATTTGATCCTTTAGCTCTTGGTAGTAAATAAATCCAAGAAAGCTACCAATTTTGATGATCTCAAACATTTCTTTAAAAATACGCAGTGCAGCAATTTTGTAAGTCACATCGTACAGCATATTACAAATCGATAACCAGATGAATATCCTGCACTTTCAGTGCATGAAACAGCAGCTGAGAACAAGGGCTATAAATGGTGTCCTCAGTGGCTTAAGAATAAATTAAGGAACATAAAGTGACCTCCAAGTTAGACACTGATTTAATTTGACAACTCTTTCAGTGCAAAAGAATTATCAGGTTTTTGTTGGGTTTTTTGTTGGTTTTTTTTTGTTAACAGATTCCTTCCAGGAAACTTGTTATTTTAGGTTACTTGGACAAGTCCTCCCAAGTAGATACACAACTCATCCTCTCCATTGCCTCCAGCCTCAGTGACTAAACTACCATTCACGAAAGTCTTGGTGATGTAGAGCACTCAATATTCATTTTGTCTAGTGAGGCAAGTAGGGTATTATTATTTCTAAACAGAACTCAGACCAAGATTCCTTGGGTTTTTTTAAACATTCTTGAAATAAACTATGCAAAGTCTTGATTATTAGAAGTAAAAGACAGACACTCCCTGCAACAATGTACTACTTTCACTTCAGTGCATTAAGTTTCTACAGATAACCTGTCTTTCTCCATATCTCCTCTTCTGTTTTTGGTGTTTGTAAATATAGCCTGCTTTCCACAGCAAGCTGTGATAAACTCAGACAGTAGACAAACTAGTCCCAGTCTCTTAGCCACAAAAACATAAGTTTGAAATGTCACTTAAAGCAGAACTGTATAGCTAGTAATTCAACACTGAAATAGGTATTTGCAGTTTTCTTTTAAAACAGTATTTCAAGGTTAAATGTTTCCTCAATCTTCATTTAAATTACCCTACTTACCCCTTGTATTAAAATGTGCTAGGTATTAGGAGTTATAGCTAGGATGAATATGTAAGGCATCAGACCAAAGGTGTCTTTAAGAATACAGCTTGAAGCTAGCTAATCAACTATTTAGGTATCTAAAGATAATTGTCAAGTACAGAACTGCAGCTATTTGGTTTTCCTGTAGGGCTAGGCTTGGTGTGAACAGGGAAAAAAACCACTGAAATCAAGACTGAAATCTCATAACTAGCTAGCCTTCAGAAAGATATCACATCCAATTTCATTCTGACAATAACATCTAAAAAAAGGAAGAGCTTGATTGCAAACAGATGCAAAATATAAAACACAGTTACTATTTACTTGTCTTGCATTCACTGTTTACACAACTAGCAGATTTCCTTCTAAAATATTTACCTTGCTAGGGCTATCAGTCATCTCCCAGTAAAGATAAAGAATAAAATCAGCTTACAAAAGTAATTTGTGCGACAATTTTGTGATGGCCAGGATTCCTTTTGATGTGTATAGCACAGTAAGACTTTAAAGTCCAAGTGACGAATTCAATCAAAGGCACTCTCCTTCAGAAGTAGGATCTAAAGCAACATAACACAATTAAGTATTTACACTGGAAGCTATGGATGTACCACTTCTGGTAGCAAGAAAGCTTGTGAAATATCAACCACAAGGGTTCTTAAACTGATCTGTTCATTACTGGTTGCTCAGCAGGGACTTAGTAGTCAAGTTATTAAAAACCTGTGAAAATAAACCAAATAAGTAATTTCCCAGGATTATTTCTCCTCATATGCAACTACTTTAAGTGTAAGAGTATGCTGCATGTTTCAGAACAGGGAGGCACCTGAGGGATCATGATCAAAAGGCCACACGTGCTATGAAAGATCTGTTCCATCCAGAGCCAGCCAGGCACACCCAGGGCCTTTCCACAGCCTGCTGGGGAAGATACTGCTATTTCTGACAGTGTCTGCTGCCTCTCAGCCACTCGTCAATAACTCCATCTTTTGGAATATTCTGTCACAAACATCAGCTTTACCTGAACAGTTCTGTGCAGCAGCTGCAAAAAACATTATTCTCAGATGCTGCTGCCCCTTTCCTCCATTTCCAAAGCACACAAGGTAGGGAGCAGAAATACTAAGGGAAAACAGCCAATCTGCCCTCCCTGAAAATATAATTCTAATTATGGTTTAATATGTAAATCTTAATTTATATAGAGAAGGTATTATCTGGTAGCTAAGTGCATCCAGTTAAACTACCTTCAGAGAAAATTGCTCATAGAAAAATCAATCCAAAGGAATTCTTTGCTGTCTCCAAGTTTGGAGCCAGAGCCTGCATCTCAACAGAAATTTAAAAAAAAAATATCACTATATATGACTAAGATTTAATCATTTTTTTAATAGATAAGAAGTATCCCCCCAAAATTTTTAGAGATGCATTGAGACAAGGTAAAGCATGCCTTACTAATTCTAGAGTTTAAGCATTTGCAGTAGTGTAAAGACTTTCTGCAGTAACAGTATTAGGATCAGACCATAATAAATGCAGTAAATATACTCTCCATTACCTATTAAACATTAGCATTCATATATAGAATATATTAACTGAATTCTTTCTAAATTACTTATTTGCACATAATAAGAACAAGTTTCTTAGTGATGACATTTAGTAAGAGTTGAATTTCTTAAGTGTTAAAAGGGTTGCGAGTAGAAGGAAATTATTAGGAGATACACAGTGCCCTGTAACTAGAGGGCTGCAACTCCAAGCTATGCTGTAGTGCAATAACAGCCTACAGCAGGAAAAAAGGGAGCAATTAGAAAATGTGGTTTAGCTATCATTAATCTGCATCAAAGGGATATAATGATGCACATTGTGTGCCTTTCAAATTATTCTCTATTATGGGTTTCAGAACAGAAGTTGAGAAATCTCTTTGACAAACTAGTCCCTTATTAAAAATCAAAGGGAAGCGCTTTGGTACCATCTGTGCAACATTAGTGCCTTCACTGAAGAATGATTATTTTGCAAGTTAAGTACTCAACACAGGGGGAAAAAGGGAGAAATTCCAGCTATTCAAAAACTCATATTTAGCTATTATGAAAAATGTGAGAGCATACATGAAATGCAACGTAATCTGTTACAACAGGAGTTCAATGTCTTTCCTTCCATGTCAGTAAATGTGAAACTGAATTATGGTACTAAAAGCCTAATCAAAAGTTAATCTCTCCCACTGTCCACCAGCATCAACATGAGCTTAGGAAGCTTTGACCAGCACCTGCAAGGTCTAGCTCTGTATAAAGAGGGAGGAAGGCTTTATGTTTGACTGTGTTAAAAGCGAAGGAGATTATGTTACAGAGAATAAAGTAAAATCATCTATAAATGGTTGTCATAAAATTTACGACAATCTCTTCTTTTTAAAGAACACCACACAGAAAAATACGCTGAAGTATTTAGAAATTCACTTCCAAAATTATGACTGTAAATCAACCTTTTTCATCTCTAGTATACTATATATGCTATGGCCATGATTCAAAAGGTTCTTACTAATTACTCACCTGTGAACTCCAACTCTCATGTTTTGGACTCTGCAACATTAGAGCTCAAGATTTTGAGACGCAGACATCCCATCTATGAAGTCTGCTTTCTATTACTCTTGTAAAGGTACAACACTAAGCAGTGAAAAGGTCAGACAGCTCTCTTCACCTCACCACAGACTCTCTAACAAGTGAATTAATTTTGACTCAGCCTTTCCTACCTGTAGCTTGCATTTTCTAGCCAGTTTGTTGTTTGCCGATTCCCCTTCGGTGAAGCCAGTGCTATTCTGTAGTGTCATTTGTTGTGTTTTCCTTTGACTTAAATCTTTTCTGAATTACTTGGTGTTGCATCTTTAGAACACACACATAGTTGGCAAAGTGCTATCCTTATCCCAGCGGAGTACAAAGTGAGATCCCTCTTATGTCCACTATGGAACCTTGGGGTACAGGGATTTTTATACTTATAACACGCAAGCTTAACCCTGTCCTTTTCAGTTACAGTAGTTCTGTGTGTTTTTAAAGACAGCGCACACAACATACTGCGTTCAGTGGGTCTTCGTTAAAAAATGGGTAGTATTATGCATTTGCATTAAACTTCAGTGTCAACAAGAATCTCAAACAGAAGGCCTTAAGAGAAGCCACAGTTGTCTCAAAACAAGGCATATAAAGCAAATATGCAAAAGACATAAAACAAATATATGTAAAGATTCCTTTTTCAACTACGTCTCTTCTTTTTCTCCACAGAAAGATTGATTTATTTTTTTTTGGTCTGTTTCCTTTACTAGAACATAAAATACATTTTCTGACCTTCTAACAAAAAAAGAAAAGAAAATATTGACAGGAATGTGACAAAAGTACAGTGCTGTAAGAACATGAAAGCAATTCCTTAAGAAGAAAGGCCCTGATTCTCCAAACTCAAACATATTTCACTCGTATACATTAAGTTCAAGGTGATAGATTTGCCAGTGGTGAGTGACAAAACATCTTAAAGGATTTGCTCATAAGATCTCTAGAGCTACAGCATCCTGTGCTTTGCCCTAGTACAACACATAACTGGCTGTTGTTAGAGGTGTGCTCATTTTATTTTGTATCCAAACCATGCCTGACAGTGAACTATCACCAGCTCAGGAGGTATTTCCCTTAGCCTCAGTACGAAAGATCCAAAAGGCCATTGCTCCTTAGTCTAGGGCAAAGACTGCAAGTGACAGAAAGTAATCTCCCACACCGGTTCCTAACTTTAGCTCCAAATAAAACTCTTGTAAATTTCAATTTTGTGGCTGCTTTTAAGTTAGAACAAGGAACAATAAAAATAACATCATCATTTTGTTCTGTGGCTCAGCCACACCATGCAAACCTTATCTTAGAAGAACTATTTGATTAAATGTATTATTCAGCTTTTAGCAGTGAAACAGACCAATTTGTAAAAGTTAATCCATCTGTAAGAGTTCTGCAAAACATCTAAGCAGTATCAATACTACCATATTGTACTTTAAATGCTTTTATAGCATCACAAATAGCTCCTCTCAAGAGATTCTCCTCCAACTATGTTTTTAAAAACCTTCACCACTTCAAATGTTTCCCCTGAAATCGTATTTAAACCATCATCTACATTTTCTATGCTCCAGAAGATTTAATCACTGTAGTATTTTATATCTATATAAAATGTACTCCTTTACAGTTGGACATAGGCTTCCATCCTCCTCGCTTCACTATATTTTTATGTCAGTAAAGAGCTACCCCATAGATGAATGTGAAGTTGCTGATGGGATTAGACTGAGAATCTTTAATTTAGACTAACATATTAGGAAGCAACAATGAAGGAAGAATTACCTTTTCTATATCTGGCAGCTAAATTAATGTTTTCTAAAACTTGGCATTACATAAAATGCTCCTCTCTGGGCTTGCAGAAGAGACATACATTCACCTACGCTCATTTCACTTCATTTTTTCCTACTTTGACAGTCAGCCTAAAATTTGATAAAGAGATGAATTCCCAGAGTACGATCTCTGCAATCTTCCACCACAGTCAGCGGTGACAAAATTACATTGCAGCAGACTAGCCGATTGTTAGGGACCAGAAAAGGAATGAGTTAAGATTTCCTTCCTTGCCCTTTTAGGCAAGGAACACAGACTATTTTTTCCATGTGCAAAAACCCTAAACTGAAAATTCTGAGAGCAGCACGCGTGCCTCAGTGCACACATATACAAGAGGCAAGAGAATATATGCATTAATCCTTTAACAGCTCCCCCCAAGAAGTCTACACTGCAGAAGATTACACATTTGTGCTCCCCTAAGAGCACAAGATATGACAACTTGTGCTTCTGGTTCGTGCAACTAACTGCTACCTGACTTGGGAATCTATCCCACTTTCATCTAATTCTGAAAGACAGATTCTAATGAATTATGGACTAACCCATTCATGCAGATTTCTTAGTAAAGCAAATTCAAAGAATAAGCAATCCATGCAGACAGTTCTCTTCAAATCAAATTTTCCAAACATGATTTGGAACAGCCTTTCAGAATCTTAAATAGGGCTGCACTGCTCACTCTCTACAAAGCACGTGAGATAAAATGGACTGGTCTGGATTCAACAGCTGTCAGAGACACAAGTTTGCTCTTACCTGAGGTGTCCACACCCAGCAGATGCCGCAGTTTGCTGCAAAGCTGAATCATGTTATCTAGTTGCCGGTTTATCTGCACATCTTGCACCCAGGTTGGCATGTGGCACACCGGGCATTCTGTGCCAACACTGTCACCCACACAAGATCTGAAAGTTAAATGTAAAAATCTATTATCCAGCATAAGCTATCTACTGTGCTCATTATCAACCTTTTCAGAGCCAAATGCTCAGCGAGAATTCCTTATTCTAGCATTGACAAGCCACTATTGTAAAGTCCACTTGAGTTGATCAGAAATGCAGGAAAGGATGTACCTACCATGGCAAGTGACAAGCTGTAATTAAGCAAGCCAAGTCCAGAGCCTTGTCAGGACATTGCCGTGAAAGACATGGCACGTTGTGACTCCCACAGACTCACATGCTGATCCAAATTTTCAAGGTATGCTAAAGCTCCAGTGCTGTTTGTCTCCAGGTAACAATTAGGCTGTTCAGTTAAAACTGAACACATTCTTTTGCACCTCAGCTAGAGACAGGGCTGTTTTTCTGAACCATTCTATTTTTAAACAAGTGACAGAAAGCCAAGCTATAGTAAATTACCATTTCCACTTTTTCCTACTTAAAATTTTCTTGATATTGTGAAGTTTCACCTGTCTGAAAGCTTTTCTGTAAGAAGTCCCACAAGGATCTGCAGGTGTTCAGAGTATTCCTTCATTTTTCTCTTTCAGATCTTTTATGCCAGATGATGATCAAGGCAGTGGGGGAACACATTTACTTAGTAAAGATCATTTAACACTTGTAGCTTCTTAGGAATACTAGTCTTCCCATATAAGCCTAAAATCTTTTATTCATTTGATTAGTTCAGTGAGAGGACCTTATGATTTGCCATCTGAACTGCAGCATTCAAGGGCCATTTTTACTTCTGAATGCCAATCTAGCCTATTAAATATACATTATAATTTCACATGCTCAAGACTGAATTAATTTCACAAGTCTCTGTTATCTTACCACCACGCAGCACACACAATTCTAGCCAAAGGTATAAAATTAAATGGGAGCAGATCATGTTAAACATTCAGAGAAACAGAATGCAAATATCAAGGCACTGCTACCTGGCAAGGATGATCAAAGTCTATGCATCTAAACTCTAAAAATACAGTTAACTTGGAAGCTGACAGCCATACACTTTAAAACTAGTAGCATATTTAACAAGACCAGAAGTATAATTACCACCACTTTCCTTAAGAGGAGATTTATTTTCAAATCTGCTCTCTGCACTGGACTCTCTCCCTCAAACACCACATAAGCATCATGCCTTCAGTTAACTACAAGACAGGAAATGTGGTACATAAGAATTTCTGCTAGGTTTGTTTTGTGCTATAATCAGCCTGCTCTGAGCAAGCAAAGGACCTCGCAGTTGAGACAGCTGTGATCACGAGACTTAAGTACAATTCTTGGCTCTGACATATTCTAAATGACACTGACAAATCACTTGGAGCAAAGACAAGAACTGACCAGGTCTCGTTCTCTAGGAAGGTAGGCCTCTGGCCTCCCACGTCTGTAAAAGGCAGTGCAAAGGAAATGCAGAATGACTTTTATACGACATTTCCTAATTACTTCTAGCTGTTGGGTTTTTACAGTCATTATCCATTAACTATAATTAACTTAGTAGTGGTACTCAGACAAAACTGCAGAAACTTATCTTAATAAATATTCCTGCCCATAATAAAACCCTTGCTGAAGGAGAGCCAGTTACATTATGTGTGACCTGATTATTGCAGTTCATTAGTTTCATATATTTCACTTCATATATCAGAAGCCAGCTCTGGCCATTCACCCCACTCCTTCCTGGTTATATTAATAAATGTCTGTCTGCAGCAATGGATCAGAATCAGTTCGTTTCAGGATACTGCAGATTCAATCCATGCCCTACCAAACTTCCTTGTAAACAAATTAATCTAAATTTCCTTAGTTCTATTTTAAAAAATAGCTGCTATCCAAGAATCAGTCATCAAAGGACACATTAAATTGATGACTAAAAGGTCAGGCACACAAAGGAGAACAGATCAGGTATAACAGTAACATGGATAATAGCAATTAACTCTTTTTCTGAGTAATAAATAGCTGCTAATGAATGCTTAAGTCTCCTAATAGCAATTCTTTCCAGCCTCATCAATGCGAACTGCACCATCTTCTGACATCTTGAAAGTTTTTCTGAAATCAAAAATACTTCATCAAACAATGTGTGTGAAATCCATCACCTGGAGTACACTGGGGTTAGCCAAATTAAACCACAAGACCTCAGATGCCAAATAAACAAACAATTATATTTATTAAGCCACTCTTATGCTCCCTTCAGCAATCCACACTACACCTTAGAAAAAAACATGTTCTAAAAGAGGTATGAAGATACTTATAAGTAACTTGTACAAGCTTCTGGGAGTTATTTTACCAAGTACTCTATGGACAGGTAGTACAAATGGAACTGGTAACAAAATGTTTCCTTCAGATGGCAGAATCTTCTGTGGCAATCTGGGAAAGAATCCACATGTCTAGATAGAAATAAACCATTTGTACATCTTTTAATACACCCGTACTGGGAGGAAGAAATGCTGAGGGCATCTGTCCCATAACCAGTTACTCCTTAAAAAGCAAGAAAATCTTTTGCTAGTATTTTACTCTTCAGGCTTTCAGCTCCCATCAGAAAGGTGCAGCTGAAGACAGGGATTAAATACACAACCATGAAGGAAGAAGGGTGGGAGAGTCTTCCTCTGCTTTTATTGACACAGTGACCACAGAATTAACAAGAGGCAAATCTGAATATCTAGACTGGCTTACGTGCAGAGGTTACAAAGTGTCTATCCTCTCCACTGTAACAAGTATCAGATTTTAATAGACAGCTCACATCTGCACTGTGCAGAGAAACCATTTAAGATCTATGACAGACCTTTTAACTCCTGTTGTTTGCATTTGCATGCCATGAAGAGAGGTAACATAAAGGACAGCCTGAAGGATCCACCACCTTCCCTATATGAGGTTCTGGGGCAAGAACATTTCAGATTCTGCCTGCACCAACGGTGCAAGTGAGTTGTTCTAAGACTGGCCAAGTGACTACTAACTCCTCAGAACTGCCTCATTAGCAGGATGTTTCTACACTCATACTATTTGACAAACTGTAAGTAGAGGTACTCATGCTATCCCAATATGTCGAAACGGACACAAACACAGGAACAGCTACAGTGTCAGATCTGAAGGAGCAAAGCCATTAACACAGCAGAAGGGCAAAGCCATGACAAGCAGCACCCAATCCTCTCAGATAAAGCCCTCTTAGAATCAGAGGGCATCTTTCCAGGCTACTCTTTTCTGTTTCCTTTGAAGGGAGGAACAGGAAGGAGTTCGAGATGAGGAGAACTGGAATTTGGTTTTGCCTCCCAACCCTATTAGAGTGGACACACCCTCCCCATCAGACCAAGGGCTCCCTTTACCCCTAGCAAACATCCTGAACCAGCCCTCAGAAAGCCAGGCCTTTGCTCTAGGCAAGCCAGACACCCACCCCAAAGCAGTAAGCCAGACCAACTGGGGGACGGCAGCTCCCGCTTTCCTCTCCCAGGCCAGAAAGCACCACCGATGCCCACCTCCCTGAGATAGCGGCCCTTTCGCCAAAGCACGGCGGCGGGCTCGGGGAACCCTTCACAGTGCCAGTAGCCTGGGAACGGAAGAAGGGAGGGCGGGCGGACTACAGAGCCCGGGCGCATCACGCTACTTACAGGCAGAAGACGTGCTCGCACTGCCCCAGGGACACGGGCTCCCGCAGGACGCCGGCGCTGTGGGCAGAGGAAGGAGAAACGCGGCAGTTTTAACACACTCGGTTTTACGGGCACAGCACCAGCGGCCGCT